AGCAACGCGTAGCGTTGAAATTCATCAGACCATGGCAACTACAACATCTCTCGCTTCAAAGTTCAAACGCTTCGCAATCTTCAAGTATTCAGGCCGACAATCTTCAAAACTACTTTGGCTCTCTGTTTATAGCGGGTTTTCCATTTCAATTTTCGTATATTTTATCGAAAAAATCTCTGTATTTTCGCTGTATATTTTCGCGAATTTGTGATAAAATTCTGTTCACATTTGTTGTTGTTTTCAATAGCGTGAAGTAGCGATTCTCTGATTGGTTAATTCACGATTGTTGTGAGAACTGCACATTTCATCAGTAATTTTAATCATGTTAACCCGTCGTTTCACCGTAGTCATTTTATAAAACAATTACGAAATGGTTTTTCCGTGCAGGATAGCATGATCCATGCACTTGGGATGTTGCTCGACCTTGGGAAAGCGTAAAAATACACTCGCCCACGGCTCGTGTATTTTCACGCTTTCCGAAAGTCTCGCAACATCCCGCGTGCATGGATCACGCAATCATGCACGAAAAACCATTCGGTATTCCTTTATTGATTAACACTGAACCTGTGACTGAACGCAGGTTCGCGTTTACGTCAGTGTTGCCATGGCAACACGGCATCCACTATTTCGCTGACCTCGGAATGACATTTCGTCAAGATTGGTTTAGAAACAAATTTGGAGTAGGGTTAGGTTAGGATTAGGGCAAGGATTAGGGTTATGGTTAGAGTTGGTGTTTGGAGTAGGGTTAGTGTTAGTAAAACCGTTGCTTTGTTACGTTTTGTCACTCTGAGGCAAGCGAAATAATCTCTTTCTGGCAACACGATAAATTAAATTTTTATTATATTTTTTGTACAACACGCCAAAAATAGTTGAAAAATTATTGCTTTTAACTAAATAAAACAATGAATTTCCGAAATATATACTGTAGGTATGGTGTTCTGCATTTTGTGAGCTTTGATTTAATGTAAAATTTAACGTGAATCGCTTCGTAAAATGTTTTGAATGGTCATTTTAATATTAAACTATAAACTGCTTTTTCCGCTATAAAACTGTACGGGTTTTTATATAGTTTATAAAACAAAATAAGTTCAAATTGTTGAGTAATTTCAGTTCGGTTTTCAAATGAATTTTCTCTGCTTTATTGAAAAGGAAAGCAGTGCATGTTTTACGCAATAAATTAAAGCAACAAAATTCACAAACATTAAACATTCAAAGCAAACTTGCCCTATATATTCCACGATTTTCCACAGTTAATAAATTCTTCTCATTTCTTCAAACAAAATTTGTTTCAAAGCCCATTGTGTGAAACGTGATTTTCCAAATATATGCTTTTGAAAATTGAAATCTTGCTTATCCCACTCCTGGCAAACAGCCATATTCTTGAGATCAGTGAGGATGACCACCCACGGTTGGTGACCGACGCCCGCGCTCATTGATAAACTTTAGACTTGGCTAAAGCTTCCCTTTCCCGGGTGTAAATAGCCGGGGGGGATTAGTACCCTCGCACCGTCGTCTCTGGGATAAAACTGCTGTAATATTAACAAAAAATACCCCAGCCTTTTGCCGGAGAAATATGCAACTACGTAACTGAAATCGGTATTTAAAATATTACTGTCAAGTCGCAAATACTATTGTTATAATTAAAAAGTATAAACTTGTCAATTACAGCACAATAATTAGGGTCGGTGACGGTGAGTTTGACACTAGGTATTCCTCGTTCGGCCATTTTAGCCATCTGATCATCGGCCATGAGTGAAATCAGTGATGAAATCAAAACAACAACAGATGACCGGCAATCGTTGTCAGGTAATGATCACAAAGCATCGCAAACATTATGGAAAGAGCGTGTAAAGCAACGACAAATACATCTTTACCGCGGGACAAGTAAAAGATCACGTGCAATTGCTCAAACTTTGGCACAAAATTATATTTACACATTTTCATGGCAAACGTAACGGCATCAACGAATTTTCTGCCAAAAATATGGAGAAACTTCTTCTCAGTCAGCATTACACGAGTATCCGAATTTTGCTTCGACATTGCAGAGTTTCCCTATGGCGACCTCCACATATATGTGTTGGTAGTTGACGCATGCGCATGCAAATTCTTCTCGACCATCCTTCTCCGCCGCGCCGTGCGTCCAGAATAGGGTCTGGTACTGGACTAATTGAAATATTCATTAGATATGGCTGTAAACACAGTTTCCAAATCATTTTATCGCCAAACAAAAATTTACGGAGCTAAAAATTTAATTATTCATCATATCTACGTCTTCAGTTTCAAACTTTTCTTCCCTATATTTAATTCTTGTCAAAACACATGCATCTGTAGCCTGTTGAACTTTTCCTATTATGATCTTGGTAGGATGATAACATCTATAGTACGACAAAATGAACAAGACCCCTGAGATAAATCCAGCAAATACTAAGGGTAATAAAATCTTCGTTAGGAAATTTATATGAGCGGCCTCGGAATAGATGGCAAGTAATACCATAACAGTATTTTCCAGCAATAAAATTGCGTAGAACACGAAAACAACAGCTTTGAAACGTTGGTGTATCTTTTCCTGGAAAGTTAATTTTGAGATACTACTTGATAAGTAAAATACCATGGGATATGCTCGGAGTGACGCGTTTAGGATAATACTTATGGTTTGTGTTAACCGATTGTTTATTTCAGAACTATTACCAAGAAGAAACCCTCTACCGGCACAAATTGCTATGAAGGCCAACAACCAATGGAGGCCAACTATAACAAAAACATAGTAGCGGAACACGTATGCAAATATTACCGGTGAGGTTAATCTCGAGATTAACAGAGACAGGTGTGCAACAAGAAACACTACCCGGGATACTGTTGGAAAAGACCACTGACCACCTCGGGGTTCAACGCCATGATGATTACACGTTGGTTTCCTTTGACGGTTCCAATGATCGGTTTTATGTAAAGTTTCCAGGGAGGTAATGCTCCAAGCCAAAGCAAAAAGAGAGAGGAAAGTTGATATTACAGTGTACCAAGGAAAATACCATTGTCTGATCATAATGTAGTTCTGAAGACACCACTGAGGAGCTGACTCAGCAAACGCTTCAACAAGACAAATAAATGTATGGCAAATAAATAAATGTATTTTCCATCGAGTGAATTCTTGTTTGAACGACGCAAGGATAGCTATTTGGAAAATCCACATTAGGAATATTTGACGTCGGGTCAAAAAAGGTATTCTGGCATTCATATAGGCAGCGCAAGTATTGGTTATGAAATGAGGAACAATCACAAAAATAAGAGTGATTCTACACCACCAGATCTCGCCGTTCTTATAATATTGAACAGCCACGTAGATGTCGGAGATTATATCCATGATATAAAGAACAAAACGCATTAGCAAAAGAAGGAGGGATATCTTGTCTTTCATATTTGAAGACGATTTCTAAAAATAAATATGTAATTCGATATTGAGGTATTTTAAATCAGCCTTTCACGTAAAATGCCGTTTTATTATTAACTAAAGAAGCCTCCTCTGTTAAATCCCATCTAAGGCCCCAACTGTACAATTCGGCGGAAACATATGAATTGAGGCAAAGTTTGAGTAAAATAATTTACACACAGTGATTCAACATATATGCATATTGAGAAAATTACTCAAATTTATGAACAAAGTTAATCTTTAGTAAAAAAAGCGAGTAAATTTGAACTTTTCTCAAAAAATGAGTAAATTTGCTCATCAAATTGAGCCAAAACACAGAAATAATAGAATTTATTATTTCTATGGTCAAAATAGATAATTTTTTGCAGGGATTATAGGAGTTTTTGTAGGAATTTATATTACGAAATATTTACAATGACAGTAATATATAAGAAATAATGAGAATAATAATATTAACCGATGAGCAAGTAATTTCGGTCCTCAGAAAGTGGTTCTAGTGGTTACAATATTTAATTTTACTCCAATATTTTCTTCTTGTACAGATATATACAAAAAAATTAATTTACTTTTAAAATTACTAAAATTACTAAGCGCCTTTCACCGGCATATGGTAAAACGCGGACTGGACTCAGATGAGTAAAACGCGAACTGGACTCTATCAGTAAAACGCGGTCTGGACTCTATTAGTAGAACGCGGACTGGACTCTATTATTGAAGAGCGGACTGGACTCTATTAGTAAAATTAAACGCGGACTGGACTCTATTAGTGAAACGCGCACTGGACTCTATTAGTAAAACGCGGACTAGGACCACAATTTTGCGCCAAAATTCGACAAAATGGGACAAAAAACAAAATGACAGCGAGCTTTAGAAATGTCCCAACAAGTCTGAGAAGAAAGGCAAAGAACAACTCAGATTTTCCAGAGTTTGAGTGAAGACGTTTGGAGAAAGAATGAAAGTTGTGTTGCGGTACATTTGGGTTCATATACCTATCGGAAAATACAAAGAAAAACCAGAAATGTGGTTACCAAAAAGAATAATGTCGAGTCCATTGACTCGAAATCCCGTTTCATGAAAGAAGCCGCACAGTTAAACAGTAAAAAAGGCCAAAGGTACATAATCCGGTTCCTTGGATTTTGTGAAGAACCATACTCAATAATGAAGGAAGGTATCCTTGCTTCGATTTTCTCCCGTTTGAATTTGCAAAAAGGTTTTGCACTCTAGAAGATTTTGTCCTTCGCAGACTTGCTGCCAACATGTGCCAAAGATGTTGTCGCAGGTTTGAAATATTTGCACAGCAAGAATGTCGCTCACCGGGATCCGCAACCAGAAAACGTATTAGTTTCAAATCAACACTATGGCAGCACATCCCTTAATAAAGATGAGTTTGCCGAAGCTTATGCATGGTGAATGCCCTGTTGTTTATAAACTGGCTGACTTTGGCTTAAGTGTGTCTCTCGACTTACAAACCAAGTTACTTTTTATGTCAAAGACGGGATAAGTGAGCCGTGGTATTCCCGCATATATATGCATGGCACCTGAAATTCATTTGCAATGACTTTTTCAAACTTGCCAGGAAGATTTAAAAAAGACGGATGCGTGGTCGTTGGGTTTGGTGATGTTAGGAGGGTGATATTTGGTAATGCTATTCAAGCAGACATTTGTAGATCACTTGATGGTAATTTAAATAATACCTTTGTGCAGAATTCATGCGATGACAGTACGAACGTAAGTACCTCAACAAATGCTCAATTAGGCGCTGACGGAATCGCGTCTGATCAGGTCACGGTTATTGATCTTGCTCAAGAGTATGCAGAACCACCCACAAGTGAACCTGTTAATGATGTTTCACTGTTATTGTGTGGAGTTAAATATAGGTTAAAAGCCAAGGGAGAGGTTTTTATTAAACTAAAAACCGATACCCGCGGCTTTTAACTTGTTTATATACTCATCAGACCATATTCTTTTGAATTTTGGAGGTTTTCTTCATTAAAAATTCAAGCTATATTAATTCAATGAGAGGTCACTGCAGTTGTGGGACGAAATAACTAGGTGTAACATGCGCATTAACACGCTTTAAAATGTGGTTAAGCATGCGCAGTATATCATTTCACGTCCCACAAGCAAAAGAGCAGATATTACTGTATAAATTCCCTGCACAAGCATGTTTGATGGTTGATCCAGCTAGTCCTCGTGCGCCGAATGATAGATACTCTTACCTAATGGTAGAGTTTTGACGGGCTCTGAAGGTATACGGCTGTTGTCTGTTTCTCGACTTAGAGACGTGCAACGTTTTCTAGTCGAAAAGGAGATGTGGGTCTTGAGTTTTCCTGCAAATTCAAGTCCCGAATTCAAGACTCATGCCAGGTCTTGAATTGAAAATGTAAAACCAGGTAACTGGTTATTATTTTTTCGTAATAACCGGGTAGCAGGTAGGCTCAGATTCCAGCTGTTGTGTTCTCGCCACTCGCCCACTTAACGGCTGGGTCAATGGTTAATATTTCTTGTCTGTGACGTCAAGGTTAATATTTAAATTTATGCATATGTTTTGCATAATTATGTATTTCTGTGCAATGTAAAATGGCGGCTGTCAGGAGCGAACAATTTTGTTTCGAAGAGGAAATAGCAAATTTTAACAACTTTGTGCATTCATCGATAACTTTTTTGTAAAGGAAAACAAAATGAAAGCTTTTAAGTTCATTTGACAAAATGTTATTAAGTTCTAGTATGTTTTTAACGAAGACAGGAACTGCAATGTACACGAGTCAATGAATATATTATATATCTAAATAGTAAAACAATAAACCCTACCAACAAAAGCAGGTGAATCTGAATAATTAACGTCTTATTTCAAACATATAGTTTTTTAATGAATATTCTTTGAAGAGGAACATAAATTTAATGTTAATATTTGAGTTGTTTATAGACTATAGTTATACGTAATGCAATTTTACACCTTGTGATTTATAATATCTAAAAATTTTCCTTATGATCGATTTTGTTCGATGGACAGTGAAGGAACTAAGTCTTTTACAGCCTAGTCCCAGGCTCTCTCTCTTTATTCGCTGCTTCGATATATTTAAATAAGTCTTAAAAGTTTTATGCCTGGGTGCGCTGTGCGGAACGCATCAGCGAGAGAGCCTAGCAGATTTCGGTAAAATGGTCCCTGATTTCAAAAAAGTGGTCCCTGGCCTGGTTACCAAGCATACCTCATATGTAAATGAATGTTATGGAAATTTCCTTTGCATTTATAATTAAGTCATTAGTTTTGCTCTAATGCTGTCGGAACAATGAAGTAGGCTACGTTTCGCTGCCATACGGTCAGAATGGAATAACAGGCTAAATATGACTCGTGTTTACTAAAATATATAGCCATATTAAATGCTATCTAGAAGCTTGAAAATTATGCCGAGTCTCCGACTAAGAATGTTTTAACAACACCGTCATGTCAGGCAAATATTTCCAATCTCCTGAGCAATTTAAACCTGTCAAGTAGAAAGCGTAGTTGTGTATACCAGTATGGTCTAGTGTTGATCACAACTTGCGAGCATATAAATAACATCAACGATTGCTCAAACTCGGTATCGTAAATTTGTATATAAATTTT